AGACTGGTACTTTTACTTGTACTTAAGTAAAATTTCATTAATGTAATGGTACTTTTACTTGAGTAGAATATTTTCCTACTCTTTCCACCTCTGCCCCCTAGTAGATTTAGGAGTAGGTGTGGGGGAGGGGGAGGGGTTTGGATTAGGCAATTAGTTAGCGACTTCAACGAGAGGGTGCAGAATTTGGCACAACACCGGACACGAGCGGCGCGTTATAATCAGTGATGCTGTCTACACTGGATTAGTGATGGGCAGAGCGAGGCTTCATGATTCACTGAAACAGTTGAAGCGAATGTGCCGAATTGTGTCGAGGCTTCGAAACAATCTGACACCAGTCTCCACTGGGACACCTAGTGGTCCCTTGCACATGTTGCTCTGCCTTGACAATGATTTACGAATGATAAACTATGTTATGTCAAACAATAAAGTGTGTCCACATCATTGTAAGAGCAATTAATTTTTTTTTCTTTTTTTATAGTTGTATTTTTTATTTGATTTGATTTTTTTAATGATGTGTTGATTTTTTAATATATCTGAAAACTACATGAGCTTGGTTTTGTAACCTTTAAGCTCCTCATTGTGAATAATTATAGGTTATATTGGTCATAAGAAGTAAACATTAATAAAAGAAATCAAGCCACAATGTGTCACTTTTGTTACATTGTGAGATTTTTATTTTGCCGCCTATCGGTCGAAAGACTTGTGAACCGCACCGAAGCTTCATTTAGCCGTTGTCACGTGACATGGATGTTTTGAATCACACTTTGGAGCTTTCGAAACATCTACGCTTCGGGATCTCGACACTGCGTCGAAACGTCAGTTTCGTCTCAAGGCTGATTTATACTCGACGCGTCCGCAAGTTCGCTTGGGTGCGCGCAGCAAATATGACGTCATCGCGGTGTTGTATGGAAGGCCATAAGCCAAAAACACATGAATTTTAACGCGTCAACGCGTTAAACACGCGTATTTCACGCGTAAACGACACGTATTTACTCAACGTGTTAAATACGCGTGAAATACATGTTAAATACGCGTGAAGTACACGTTAAAAATCAGTTTGAACGGGTCAGTGTCATTGGCTGCTGAGGACTTGGGTCAAACCATTTCTGTGAGCTTAGGGGGGTGTACCATTCATAGACTAGGCAACCACCATTTAACATGCAATAGATCAGCTTATTCAGCCTAATTATTTTGTCTTTTTTTTTTTTTTGTATAGCCTATAGAAATAATGATGGGGACGAAAACATACAGGCAGACAGTCCAGGGGCTTGACAGTATTTACCTCAGATTTGTCAGCAGCTTAATGTCCGTATATCTTATATACAGTTTCATATCCTTTATATCTTTAAGCATACAATGCTTTAATCGTACAATAATATAAGTGCAATAAATTAAACTGTGCAATACTCAGATCTATATTTTCTACTGTATACATTAGTTTCATAAGTGGAGCATATGTACAAGTAATCTTAATTTTTAACATTTCACATCTAGCCTAGAATATAGAATAGTGATCCATGGGGGAATCTGTGGCTTCAGCAGACTGGTTGTATTTTTGCAAGCTTCTGACAAGAGGGCTGGCACAGTGTTTAACCAGTTTGTACAAGCCACAGCTAGGTATGGTGTTCCATCTCGAGTTAGATGTGACCACGGAGGAGAAAACAATGCCGTTTGTTTGTTTGTTTGTTTGTTTGTTTGTTTGTTTATGAACATTTATCGTGGATCTATAAGTGGAAGTGCCATCCGTAGTAGAAGTGTCCACAACCAGAGGATCAAGAGACTTTGGGGAGATCTTTGGCGGGGTATGACTGATGTGTACCACCAGTTTTTCTCCTTTCTTGAGAGTGATGGAGTCATTGACTGTACCAATGAGCTACACATCTGCGCACTGCATTATGTGTACCTTCCACGGATTAACCGGGACTTTGAGGTTTTCAAGAAACAGTGGAACAATCATGGATTGCGCACTGCTGGTCACCACACAGCAAATCAGATGTTTGTCAAAGGATGTCTTTAGAGGCAAACATCATCACTCACTGCCATGAGATTTTTGGACCCAGCCCTGCTCAAGATGGTGCAATTCCTGCTGTGGATTGGTAGGAAGTTGTAACCGTTCCTGCAAACCAATTCAGTCCAACCGAGGCACAGATGCAACAACTGCAGGATGTAGACGTTCTTGAAGGACCTGTCAGAAGTCCGGCTATTGATGCACTGCAAACC